TTTTTTTTTTTTTTTTTTTTTTTTTTTTTACAATTTTAATAATTTTTAACATATATACATATATTCCATATCAAAAATACGGAAATTATTGAACCATGCTACATCATTCACTGCTATTATTTTTAATTATATAAAATTAATAAATCTATTTGCACTTGCCACAAAATAAAATAGTAGTTAATTTAAAAAAATGATTCTTATAAAAAAGATCTTGAGGTACCTGCTTATTCTTTGGTTCGCTTAAAAACCGCAGGATGCCTCCGGCATTACAAGATCTTGAAAACGTTGCTTGTAACAGAATTATGTGTTGCACAATTTAAAATCATTGACAAAAGGGGATACAGATTATAGTAAGAAAAAAAAATAAAAATTAGAATTTGACAAAAAGGATGTATAAGAGAAATAGAAACCTACACTTTTTCATTCCCTTAGAGAAAGTGAGGGTGAGAATTTATGGTTTTTGTGCATAAATATGACTTTGATGAACCAAGGGAGAAGTTTAAAACATTTTAGTTAGGGAAGAGGTGGGAGAGAGAACATGAAGAGCTGTATTTAAGATATTCTTTTATTCTGGTAATTAAGATAATTAAAGAGGTGACTCTTTTTAACCGTTGCAATACTTAAAGAAGGTGTGTGAAGGAAAATGAAGAGGTGTAATTAAGAGGTGAATTTTTAATTTTTTTAAATTTAGAGGTGTATTTAAGATTTTTTTTTATTTTGGTAATTAAGATAATTAAGGAGGTGATTTTTTTTAAACCGTGGCAATTCTTAGAGAAGGTGTGAGAAGGAAGATGAAGAGGTGTAATTAAGAGGTGACTTTTTGGTTTTTTAATTTAGTGCATAAATGAGAAAATAGAGAAAAAGGACAAAAAATGAGAACAAAGAAAAAAAATAATTTCTAATTATAGATAGTGCCACATCACCTCTCTTCGATCCTGAATTATATTAATATATCGATTTGCCATGACAAAAGGAGATCAAGGGTTTCAATGTGTTAGATTTGGTAATTTTGAATGAATAAATCAAATAAAAAAAGAAAGAAAAGAAAAGAAAACTTAATTAGAATAGGGACACTAGATATGAATACAAACTGTGATTTGAACCTTTAACTTCACTTGTAAAGGTGCATCCAATAATCATTACACTATAGCACTCTTTGAGCTTGGGTGCACACATGTATATTTAAAGAATTTGTAAGAAATATAATATTGTTCATGCTCCAACACATAGATACGCCCTTGTCTCTCATTCCGATGAGCAATCTACCACCAATAGTACCACCAATAAACACCTCCCAAAACCACCGAATAGAGAAAATAGCAAAAGAAGAGAACTTATCACCACAACATTTGTACCGAGAAATGCTATTGGAACAAAACTCCATGACAACAAGCACGTATTATTCCCAAGAAAATAATGGAAAGGAATCTATGCTCCATGAGCATCTGTAAGATTAAATCTCACTCTCGGACAAGGAACAAAATCGTTTATGTCTCCCATGGAGTTACTCCCTCATCATCAAAGTATTTGGTGAACGCATTACTCACTAATTCCTTCGAAACAAACTTTTCGAGTTGTGGTGCCCATCCGAACGATTAGTTTTGATCGATCAAGGATGTGATTTTTACACTGTAAAGCTTGCCCTAGAAGAGAACATGATTAAAGCACTGATAGAAAATTTCTTTGGGAATAATTAATTGCTATCTTTGAATCCTATGTTGGTAGTTGATATGTTGATGGAGACTTTAATGAAGTTCTTAATTAAAGGTAGGGATAAGTTTGGAGGGAACTCTATCAACTCTAATAGGTCTAACATATTTTAGGATTGTATTAACAAGTGTAACCTAGTAGATTTGGGCTATAAAAGGTAGCAAATACACTTGGACTAGTAAAAGATATAGGAATAAACAATATTTAATCCTAGAAAGACTAGATAGGTGCTTTGCTAATTATTCTTGGATTCACACCTATCAAGAAGCTATTGTAACCCATTTACCAGGACACACTCTG